TGTGTGTGTGTGTGTGTGTGTGTGTGTGTGTGTGTGTGTGTGTGTGTGTGTGTGTGTGTGTGTGTGTGTGTTATTTGCACAAAAACACCCCATTGCAATTGGCGTAGAGCATGCCATGTGCAACGAAACAAAAACAAATACTGCTCACAGATAATCAATGTTGCCCGTTTAGCGGTCCCGCCACCTAGCATAAACACATTCTCAGGTCTCACGATATGCGGCAATAGGAGGTTTAAACCAATGGATAAAGAGGACAGTATATCAGACATTGTACATGTCTCGCGTAACATCGATGTGGTCTGTCCACAACACTCTATGTTTTTCCCTCGCCACTATAGGTAATAACTATAGTATAGTATGTATGTACATGCATATCTATATATGACTAGAATAATGACTATATATATATACATATAATATCATATATATTACCTTGTAGTCTTTCTTACCACGTCCTTCTCTACCTTGTAGTCTTTCTTATCACGTCTTTCTTTACCTTGTGATCGCCCACGTCGTTACTTCGATACAAACGTTAGCACGTATGAGTCCGTCTAGCTTAGCTGATATGCTCCGCCCCGCTGCACACCGTTCCCTTTTATCCCGTAGACCACGGCCAGTGATGCGAGGCTAGTGAAGGTGCCCATCCAGGTGCCAAGGATGCGAGCTGTGTACAGGATCCCTGGTCCATCCATCTAACCAGCCAGCCAGCCAGCCGGTAAAGAACCCGTTTGCTTGTAATACCGAGTTGTTTTTCTTCGCAATGCCTTCTACTTATCCTCGCATTCCTCCTCGGTATCAAGATCGTCTGCTTAGTAAGTCGTCGGAATTAGATTATTCATGCATGGGCGTAAACCGATTAGTTTATTCACACTCTGTGCGTACGCTCCCGCCACGCCCCTTTCTCTACATAAACGTGTTTTTTTATATTTGTGTTCTATTAGAGCTTTTGAGCGTTTTAATTCGCGCGTTTAGTATTGGGTATTTTATTTATTTGGATACTTTCGTGAGAGAAAAACATCCTTACAGATGAACCCGCGGTCAAGTAAAACCACGAAATACGAGGTCTGAGAGTATCCGAGAATGTAGAATGAGATATGCATCTATACTCATTGTCGAACGTGTCCCCGAGTATACCTCGGGCACTCTTGTGTGGTGTTTGCTATAGTGCTTCTATAGACGGAGAGGTAAAACTACAATCGCTCAGAGAAACCTGTTTGTTCTCTTCGGATACTCTTCGAACGATGAATGTTAACTTATGTTGACACGTGTATTTCCGAGCAACCCGCTAGCGGGTTGGCAGACGAGTTTGGTATTAACGCGCACCGTGTACGTGATGTTATGAAGCGCAGTTGGATTATGATGTGATGGCACTTCTCCATGCTAGCGTATAATATAAATATGAATAAATATTCGTTGTCGGTCGCTACAGTTGTTGTTGTTGCTGCTGCTGCTGACGATTTTGATGAGTATAGTATCGCTGCTGCTGGTGCTGGCGGTATTACTGTCATCGCCATCGCCGTTATAGTCGCTGTTTTTGGTGCTGTTGTTACTGCTGATGTTATTGCTGGAGCTGCTGTTGCTACTACTATTGTTGTTGTCGTCGGTGTCGGTATTAATATTGTTGTTGTTGTTGTTGTTGTTGTTGATGATGATGATGATGATGATGACGACGATGACGATGAGGATGATGATGATGATAAAGTTGTTTCTGTTGTTGTTGTTGTTATTATTATTGTTCTTTATCTTTATATTCCAAACCAAATAAAAATTCATGTGTTTTTAAATGCATATTTATTTCTAAAATTGTTAGTATTTACAATATGATGGTCTCTCATGGTCACAATTGCTTAACACGGGTAGTTGAAAGTTCGTCAGTTGCTCGTAATATACTCGGGCGTTCGCTTAGCCCGGTTAAAATCTTACTTAAAGGTCCTCATAACAATTTTAGGATTCCTTATTGCCAAAATTTCTCAGAAAAGAGGTACTTCGCCCTAAGCCGAAAATAATATGTTGCCCTCGTTTATGTACGGTTCAGTCCGAGCTGTTTGCTCGTTGAAACACACGCCGCAGCTGCTGCACGGGGCTGTGGAGTACCGTGGATCAGCTACGAGAGTGTCGTTTAGGCATCCATGTTTAAACACGGCGGGCGCTGGCTGGCAGCTGATTGCGGGGTCCGGAGTGGACAGGCAGGGAATCCACGGCGACGGGAACGAAGCGGATCGCTCCGTTGTTGTTCCTCTCGAATCCGTATCCGGCTCCCTGCTCGGTGCTGCCCTCTCCGCTCGCCTGCTGCGTGAACTGCTGGGTGGCGTCCTGGCTGGCGGTGCGGGTGGCAGACAGCTCGATGCCGGAGGTTCCGCTTCCGCTTCCTTCCCTGGAGGCGCCGCTGGTCTCCGTCTGACGGGCGTAGCCGTTACGGAATCTACGTCCGATGACGAGCTGCTCGGTCTGGGCGGCGTTGATTGCCTCACGGGGAGCGGCGGCCGTGGCGGTGTTCCTCCATCCGTTGAAGTCAAAAGCCTCGACGTTGATGTACGTGTTGCCGAAGTTGTCGAAACCGAAGGCGCTGGCGTCGATGTTGGCGAAGTTGTTGGGGTCGACGGTGTTATCGCCACCAAAAGCTGAAGAAAGACAACAGCAACGGATTTATTCCAAGTAAATGCACAGGAATATATATTCTAGACTGCATTACATATCGCATGAGTAAGATAAAGATCTGCTAATGTAAGGTCAGTTAAATACATTGAGAAAAGACTCGCTAAGAAACACATTCGCTAACGAATTACTTACTTGGCAGGTTGACAAATGATGGACTACTCTTGATACCGGAAGTCCTGAAGCCACCGGTGCCAACACCGCCGCCGCTAGGGAAGCTGCTGCCACCACTTCTGAAACCACCGGATCCACCAGTAGCACGGAGAGCACCGAATCCACCAGTAGCACGGAAACCACCGGATCCACCAGTAGCACGGAGACCACCGGATCCACCAGTAGCACGGAAACCACCGGATCCACCAGTACCACCGGCACCACCAGCAGCACCGCCAGATGTCGACGTCCTAGTGACGGTGACTCTTTGCCCTCCACCACCGAGCCCAGCGCCACCAAGACCAGCTCCAAATCCAGCGCCACCGCTGCTGCCACCGGCAGCACCAAAGCCACCAGCACCACCAGCAGCACCGCCAGATGTCGATGTCCTGGTGACGATGACTCTTTGCCCTCCACCACCGAGTCCAGCGCCACCAACACCAGCTCCGAATCCAGCGCCACCGCTGCTACCAGCGGCAGCACCAAAGCCACCAGCACCACCAGCACCACCGCCAGATGTCGATGTCCTGGTGACGATGACTCTTTGCCCTACACCACCGAGTCCAGCGCCACCAAGACCAGCTTTGAATCCAGCGCCACCAAGACCAGCTCCATATTCAGCGCCACCGCTGCTGCCAGAGCTCTGGTAGCTGTAGCTGGAACCACCGCTACCGCCTCCTCCTCCGTAGTTTCCGCCCTGGAGCCCCTTGATGCCTCCCTCTCCCAGGGCATTGCTCAGAGCCTGGGCTACACAACCCAGCAGGATAGTTGCTACCAACACCTTCATCCTGTAAGATCGGAAGACCGTACTGTTACAGCCTGTATCAGATCAAAACGTTCGACATCTAATATTACATTTACAATGATCTGCATCGGCACATTTTTTTCATACTGGATATAGTGGGCATATACATCTGGTACTTTTAGTATATAGCATTTCCAGTTACCTTACAGACCCTTTTAGCAATTCTATCTGCTTTTATCGACACGAAACATTAATGCGTGAGATACTAGAGCGGAATCTGTCAAACTATTAACTAAAATCTGGTCAGTACAGTGATTCTCTCTCAAATCAAATAATCATTAATTATCAATCTATTAACCGATCAGTCATTCTCTTTGCGTTACGTTCTACCTACCTATCTACCTACATACGTCTTGTTCATTTCTCCTACATCTTAAATAGCAAGCATATAGTGGACCGCGTATTACGATAGATAGAAACAAACAAAACAACGATGTCTTACCTTGATTATTTTATAGAGCTCCTGGCCGACGAACCTTTGACTACGGGTGTGAAGCAGTTGTGCACTGAATCGGCGCTCGCTTTTCGCTTTTATCCTTCTCCGCGGAGTCAGTGGCCTGATTCCTGACAGTATCTCTTGAGAAATCTAAGATCCAAGGACGCGTGCATAAATTACTTTAACATAATATTTTGATTTAATATGGGAGCTTCTCTGTTTTGAAGAGAGAGAGAGAGAGAGAGAGAGAGAGAGAGAGAGAGAGAGCGAAAGAAAGAGAGGGAGAGAGATTGTGATCACACACGCGTATATCGTTGTACAGATTAACTTGTCATGCGCGCCTATTCGATTTTTCCCCGCGAGCACCTCTACTTTGTTGTAGAGAGATAAAGAGAGAGAGAGAGAGGATGAGCGAGGGAGGGAGATAGGGGAGAGAGAAAGAGATAGAGAGAGAGGGGGAGCGAGGGAGGGAGATAGAGGGAGAGAGAGGGGGAGCGAGGGAGGTAGAGAGAAAGAGATAGAGAGAAAGAGAGGGGGAGCGAGGGAGGGAGATAGGGGAGAAAGAAAGAGATAGAGAGAGAG